TTTTTTTTTTTTTTTTGCATACTGGGGATCCCTGCTGTGCATGCTAAGCAAACATTCTACCATGAAGCTATACCCCAGACCCCTTTCCTACTTTTGAAAAATTTCTTCATTGTCAGCCACCAACCAAAAGCTGCATGACTTTAGGATTTAACTCAACCTTGATAAAATATCAACCTGAATATGGTTTGACTCACCATGATAACTTGATGGGATCAGCAAGTCCTACATGCTGACATGCCCTACAAGACAATGACAAGAGAGGGATTTGCAAAAATCCTCCACCAAAGGGCAGGCACTTTCCAAATCAATGCCCAGGCAACTACCCATCAGAGATGGGGAAAAGCAAGGTGCCCTTTATCTGCCAGCTAAAGCACCACTAGGAATGCCACAATTCTGGGGAGAAGGGAGAGACTTAGCAACAGAACTGAAGGACACAGAGTCTTATATTAAAAGTCTAACAGCCAGACAAAACTATAGCTTGTTGAACACAATTTCTATTGCATGATCCACTGCCACAATGCTATGTCTCCTCCATCTCAACAAGTGCCAACAATTTTCTGGCATTCCTCACTCATTCAACAAACATTTATTTATCACTTAGTAGCTGTCCTACACTGGGCTGGCTACAGCCTGGTCTTACAAGCTCCATCTGTGCCATGGTAAAGCCATCTATTTCCAAGAGGCACACAACGGAGGTTAATATCTGCAAAGATATGTGCTTTGTAGCCTTGCTCGGCTTCTCAAAACAGGGTGGGGGAGCTCAGGACACTACGTCCACTATCGGATGTTCAGCTACCTAAAGATGGGGCTGTATTCCTTTCATCCCTACCTTACAAACCCTATTATTCAAAAGACGTAAACTGTTTGAAACTGAAGTGAAAAAAAGAAGAAAGATAACTATTCTCTTAAAAGCGTTGGCTTTGCTGTTGCTGAAAGTTTTGTCGCCAAAGAAAAACAACGAAGAAGGAAGGGGGTGATCAGATATATTAAGAACAACATCAGGACAATTTTGGAGCTCTGGCCTCAAGTGCAACACCACGCAGCAGTGTGAGAAGCGCCGGGAGCCGCAGCGTGTATCCTGGCACAACGCCCCACGCCCACCTCTTGCTCCTTCTCTGGTGTGTATGTTCCTCGGAAAACCTCATTTGAAGTCCAAAAGAAATGGGGCAGAAGAAGCAGTTCGAAGCGGAAGGCCCATCTTGACCCTCCGCTCCCCCAGAAGGAAGGAAGCGTTTCTGCGAGCGGCAGGGCTGGGCAGGGCTGGGCTGGGCTGGGCAGTGATGCGCCCGCGCTCCGCTCCACAGCGGCACCCCCTGCAGACACGCCAGGCACTGGTCCTCCCCTCGGCGCCCAGCCTCTTCCCCCCTCTGCTCTTTTCTTTGCTGTTTTTTTTAATTCAGATGAGGTCTCCGGGACTGGAGCAGAGGAGAAACGTGTAAAACGAGGAAAAGGCGGCGAGAGAAAACCTGCTCCCCTCGAGGGACATCCCAACCAACCTGCGCAGAAGCTACGTTTCGGGGTACTTCGCACCCCGCCACCTCCGCTGCCCGGACCTGCAGAAGCCGGAGGCTGCACAGCGTCCAGAAGAGGTCCCCCGGGGGCAGGGGGTGGGGAGGAGCAGGCACCCGCCAGGTAACGAGGGGTTCGGGGAAGAGCGAAGCTGCGGGGCCCAGTCCGCGCGCAAGACTTGCCTGGGACGTGCTCGCCGCGCTCTCTCCCGCAGCCCGGCAGTCGTCACCGGCCGGGCCCCAGCGCCTGGACGCGGAGAAGTTCCGCCGCTGCAAACGTGAGGAAACGCAGTTCAGCCCAGCACCCGCCCCCTCCGGGCCCCACCCCGAGCCCGACCCCTGGCGGCTGCGACCTCGGCCACCCCGGACGGACGGTCGGGCGCTGCAGGGGCTGGAGGAGGGGCCGCCTTAGGGCTCTCCTGGCCGCGAGGCCCTAGACACGTCGCCAACAGCCCGGGGCAGGCGCCTCCGCCCGGCCCCTCGCCCCCCAGCCCGCGCCTCCGCGCCCCGACTCACCCCGCGTGCAGCGCCAGGCTCGGCAGGCGGTGCGTGTCACATCGGTAGGCCGCGTCACGCGTGGGGACTTTTTGCCCCTCAGTCCTCGAGCTCGGCCCCTGTCCCCCCGCACCTTGCCCTCTCCCTAGCTCCTGTCTCCGGGTTGTATTTTCCGGGTTAATTACGTTTCACATGAAGGCAAAACCCAGCCCCGGATGTGAGTACAATGCTCCTCCGGGAGGAGAAGGGTGCCGGGGCGCGCGGGGGTAGGGCGGCGGCGGGGCCTGTCCAGTCCCGGAGGTCCCGAGGTCGCCCGGCAGCGCAGGTGGCGCCGGACCGCAGGTGCCCGGGTGGGGGCGCCGGGGAGGGTGAGAGGCAGCCGGGTGGAGCGGTGCGGGGTCGAAAGCCGGCAGATCCTTCCGGGTTGTCCTGAATGTGCAGCGGCGTAGTCGGCGGGCTCAGGGACTCCTCAGAGAGTGGCTTAGAGAGTCTTGTCCTGCCTTGGAGTGGGGAGAAGGTGGGAGCCGAGCAGCCCGGGGAACTGGGCCAGGCACTGAACTCCCGGATCCGCGCGGCCACCTGTGGGGATCAGCCCGAACTGATGAGAAAACCGAGACTCGAGACTCGGGAAGTTGAGTAACAGCCCAGCCCCGGCTGGTGGCAGGCAGGTCTGTCGGGTTCTGACACCGGCTCCCACGCGGGACACAAGCAGACAGCACCCAGTGCACTGTGATTCTCCCTGGAACCGGAGCCCCCGCGGGGCGCGGACCTGACGATAGCCGGCGTGGCCTGCAGCCTGCGGGTCCTCCGGATGAGAAAGGAGGCCATCGGAAGAGAGGACCAAGCTCGGCCCCAGGGAAGGATCCGCATCCGGAACCTAGGGTGAAGGGCCTAAGGAAAGTCACGGCACCTGAGGTGCCACGGCCTGGGAGAGGCCGGGCGTAGCGCACACCCAGAAAGTGCTGGTGATGGAACCTTGCCTTCTCTCTTCCACTACTTTTGCCGAAGCAAAAAACGAGTCACACGGCTCCCTCAGGTGTGAAGGACTTTACCTAGAAACATTTTGTTCTGAATGAAAGACACACACACACACACACACACACACACACAATCCCTCATGTAAATACATCAGTGCAATTGTGTATTTGTGTGTTCCCTACCGCACTTAGGTCCCAGACAGTAAGCAGAGCGGTAGGTAGTGGCAGCCACGTGGAGAGCAGCTTCTCTGGAATCCAAGACTTAAAGCCCTGTTCTGCCACTTTTTAGCTCTGTTCCCTCCAGGCGTAGCATATCACTCTTGAGTGGTCACCCAGCCTCAGGGAGTCACCATGTGCGGTCTTCAGGTTACTGTCCAACAGAAAGATGCTGTGTAAATCGCTTCATTAAGAATTAGATTATTATATATGGTATCCAAAGGAACACAGTTCTTTCCTACTGGAAACCATCAACCCTGTCTGTTGCCCTGTCTGGGTGAGCACTCCCAGGAAATCCGACTCAATCCCTGGTTTCCAGTATGAGCTGTGAGGTGAAAGCCTCAAATTTGATGCTCTGGTTCCCATTAAAACCCATAAACTCTGCTCCCTGTGGGGCCTGCCTGACTCAGTCACAGAGCCACAAATATGTTCTGAGCGCTACTGTGTTGGATGCCAGGGAGAAGCTGAAGGCCTGGGGCCAGGGAATGGCCCGGAGGCGATGGTGCCAGGGTTTAGAGGAGCAAGACGGGCCTCCCTGCGGACTGGGGCTTCTCCAGGAAGAGCTGAGCTTGAAGTGAGCTAAAGAAATAACCTTTGGGGGTACGGTTTGGTGTGAGCGAAGGAAGACTGGCCATTCATACCTCACTGGGGGCCACATCTGTCCCTGGCCAGGACCTGGTCCCAATTAGATGACAGGCTGCACTCACAGAGATCTCCTGTGTTCCCTGCATTTCCCAGTGATTCCTCAGATGGCCCGCTACACCCCCTCTGTGCCACTGAGCAGTGGTAAGTTGAGCTGTTTTCTCTTCCTCATCTCACTTTTTTCCTCCTGTGGTAAACTATACATACCACAAACATCACAATGTTAACCATGTTAAAAAGTGTGTGTGTAGTGGCATTTAGTATGTTCACTCTGTTGAGCCACTGTCACCAGTAAAAAGTTCCAGATCAAATCATCACTCCTTGCAATGACTCTTCCTATTAATCAGTCATACCCCATTCCTCTCTTCTCTCAGCCCCTGCTAAGCCTTAAGTACATTTCCATCTGATTAATGGATTTGCTTGTTTTTAATATTTCATATAAGTGGAATCATGTAATAGGGGACATTTTATATCAAGCTTCCTATACTTTAGCCATCTCTTAATCGACACATTTTGAACCCTGCACTTGTGACTATCTGTGGGAAGTGGAGTGCCAGAAAAGGGACCAACCTAAAATGAGATTCAACAGTTTGCCCAAAACTTTGCAGCTATTTCATGGCAAAGCTGATTCTAGAATGCAAAAATGAATCTTGGTACAGGAATTGCCCTGTGAAGGTGGGAACAGCTGGCCAGAGCTGCAGAATTCAATCCAAAAGCCTACTCTACTCTAGCCATTTATTTATGTGCTTTATATCCATTTTCAAAGTTAGTGGCTGGTTATCTAGATGGCCTGATAACCTCTAGTGTGTGCCAGTGTCCCCTCAGGGAGCTGTATTGTTCTCTGTCCTCAGGGACCCTCATTATATAAGGTTTTCCGGCTGCAGTTGGAGCCAGTTACACTGGAGAAAGTGCAGGACTGAACAGGCCAAGGTCATTGGTCTGATCCTGGTTCAAACCAGCTAATTTTGCACAAAGATAAATTGCTCCAAGAATAGCCAGGCATGGTGGCACATGCCTGTAATTCCAGCACTCAGCAAGCTGAGGCAGAAGGATTGTTATGTGTGTTCAAGACCAGCCTGGGCTACAAAATGAGCTCAAGAGCAGCCTGAACTGTGTAGTGAGACCCTGTCTCAAAAAAAAAAAAAAAAAAAAAAAAAAAAAAACCTGCAAGTTCACACATTGTACTTCTTTCTTGGTTATTTTTCTCTCATTGCTAGGACAAAATACCCAATACCCAGAATTAAGGAAGGAAAGGTTTCTTTAGTTTGTGGAGGTTTGAGTCCATACTCAGCTGGCTCCAAGGCAGAGTGGTACATGGCACAGGGAAGTAGTTCGTGGCAATGGAAAACAGCAAAACAGCAAGAGCAAAAAAGGGAGGAGCAGTAGCAGCAGTGGCTGAAGCAGCAGGCCTTTCTCACTTACACTACCTCCAGGCTATCAGCTCCAGGCCAGCTGTGACACTCACACCCATAATCCCAGCATTGGATCATGAATTAATCACAAACTCTAGAAGCCCACCCCATGACTGCATGAGACTTTAGGGGGACAACTAGACACAAACCATAACAAATTCTGATGTTAGCTGGTCACTGTATAAGTAGTTATTTGATTTAATGGCAAAGTATGAGTGGTTCTACACTACCCATTTCTAGAAAAATTGCACAAACTAGCATTGTTCTGTTCGGTCTTATTTGTTGCATAATTATCTGAAACTATTACCATTTTTCCTTGAATCCATCTTATATTTGCTTATTTCTTTCTCTATTTTATAGTGATAAGGTGACTAAGCCGAACAGATGAGGCTTAGATACAAACCTGATACGGACCTACATAGAGCTGTAGTGTCAGAGCTGCCCTCTTTGCCCCAGGTCACACTAGTAAGTATAATGGCAGACCTGAAAGGATACAGAAGGACAAAACCAAGACACTTTCCCTTCCACATTTTTATATTTATTGTTACTTAGACTTTCTTTTCTATTTCAACTAGCAATTTCATGTTGAAGAGTACATCCTACAGATAGGCACATAAAAACACGTAGTTGTATATATTCACTGTTGCATTGTGTGTAATGGCAAAAATGGGAAATCATTCTCTTGGTTGGATTGGACAGGTAAGTATTATTATATTTGTATAGTCTTATGCTGTGTTGCTATTTAAAAAGAACAAAGTCAGGATAGGTGCATATCACAGGTAGAACATGTGCTCAGCATGCATGAAGTCCTGGGCAGTCCCTAGGAGAGGGAAGGAGGGAGGGAGAGGAGGAGGTGAAGGAGGAAAAGGGGAGAGAGAGAATACTAAATATGTTAGGTTTAGAAATAAAGCTACAAGTGAGGTATGACACTGGGAGGCTGAGTCAGAAGGATCACAAGTTTGAGGGCAATTCAGAGATTTAATAAGACCCTGTATCAAGTTTTATAAGGGGATGGGGTGGTTGGGGTTGTAGCTCAAGGTTCAATCCCCAGTACCACAAGAAAGAAGAGAGAAGGGAGGAAGAAAGGGCTACAAAGCTGTATGTATAATTTAGTCCTATTTCTGTAAATAAAATTTTGTTTACATGTCTTTATATATATAATTGTTTACATATCAAAAAGGACTAGAAGGATATATTCCAAATTGTTAACTACAGCTTTCTTAGGGCTAGGCAGGAGAGGATAGAATGGTGGGTTTCATTTCCAAAATATACTACAGTGTTTGGCTTTTTGTGGCAAGTGTCAAAAGAACAACAATAACTTACATTTTTAATAAAATTTTAAAATTCTGAAAAAATCAAATTGTAGCCTCCGTGGGGCTACTCCTTAGGTAGGGAGGGAAGTTGGTATATATGGAAATAACTACCATCTGTTCTAGAACCTGCTGTACAGGAGGGCAGGAGAGGAGAGGAAGATTTCTCTGCAAAGATGTCAGTCAGCTGTGGTTAAGAAAACGTATTCAGGAGGCAGCACTCAGCACTCAGCGTTTGGAAGGATCTTGGAGGAAAGGTAGCTGTGGAAGAGTCAGGAGGGAGGGCAGAGTAGGTGGAGTTTGTAGAAAGATGGAAGGGTGATGTGTGGCCCTGTGGGAGGGAGGAGGAAAGGGACCCAGAGGGGAGGAAGGTAGCTGGGAGTGTGCACTGCTACCGATAGGGTTCTGTATAGCTTTCTTCAGGCTTCCAGAGCCACCCTCCATTTTTAAGCAAGGAAGGGACACAGTCAGAAGTGAGTAAGCAGCCAGGCAAGATGAGGCGCAGCTCCACTCCCAGCCACTCTGAAGGCTGGGCAGGAGAATCACACATTCATGGCCAGCTTGGACAACTTAGCCAGACCCTGTTTCAAAATAAAACCCAAAACAGGTCGGGGAACGGGGCTCAGCTGTGCTCAGTTCCCACAGCAGGCAGAAAAAGGTGAATAAGCAGCAATTTCATAGCCAGTGACTATGTAATTGTCATTGTACTCTAGCATCAAGCTGCCTGGGTTTGACTTCCAGTTCTGTCCCTAACTATCAGAATAGCAGTAATTAGGGAATTAGGGACCAGTTACTTGCTTCTCTGGATTTCTGTGAATGTGGAAATGGTGATAACGATGACCATATCATGCCATTGTTGGGATCCAGTGAGCTAGTGCTTTCAGGGTGCATGTCAATGCTGAGGACATCTACCAAATTAAAAGCAAATGAGCAAAAAACTAGCAAGGGCTGGAGGTTATTGGCAGCTGACTGCTTGCCTAGCATGTGCAAAGCCCTGGTTTGGCCCTTAGGACCACAAAAACAAAGTAAATAAAAATAAAATTTAAAAATCTGGTGTGTTGGCTAATTTTCATAGTGCTGATACAGAATGCCCAGTGCCAAAAATTAAGGGAAGAAAGGTTTATTTAGTTCATAGTTTATAAAGGTTTCTGTCTGTAGTCATCAGGCTCCAAGGCAGGGTGACACGGCAGACACTGCAGAGGAGGAAAAAGTTCCTGGCCAGCGGGAGGTAGCAAAGCAAACAAGGGATACCTGCAGCTTTTTCCATCCCTTATATCTTATCCTGGCTACTTGGGGCAGATAGTACTCGACCCTTAATCCTAGTGAGCTTCGATCCTAGCCCTGCACCGTCCAGCCCAGCGTCACATGCTCTAGATCCAGCCACCTCTGAAAAAACCCTCCCTATGACCATGTGAGGCTTGAGGGGACATCTAGACACAAGCCATAAAAAGTATCAAACTTTTAGATTAAAATCTTTGCATTTTGTTCTGAAACTTTTCTTACAAAGAGCTAACATTTTTTCACATTCTTGTGGATAATATATTATTAATCATTTTAGAGATAAGGACTTTAGATTTTAGAGAAATAAATTATCTCTTATCTGAAACTATAATTTCTGGTCCCAAACCCAACTCTTAAATCCAATTTCCAGAGCCTTGAGGGTAGGAAAAAAATGGGAAGTGGAAGAAACTTTGGAAATTTCTGTTTACAGGATAAGGACAACAGCAGTAAGGGACAGGAATAAAGTTAAGATCAAGAAAGATAAAACTTTGAAAAAAAAAAAAGAAAGATAAAACTTTGGTGAACACCTGGAAATCTGTATATAAAATCTAATGTGACATATAAACAGGAGATACATATGTACATACACATACACATGTTTATACATATATAATACAAATTGCTTCCTAGTAACTAAGCACGGGAGGCATTACTGCACTGCTAAATCTGACACTAGCATAGCCCTAAAAGTGGAATGTGGATCTTGTGCCCAGAAATAACTCTGTGGCCCAAATGCTCCATTCCTATTGATTTGTGCTATGGCATTGCTTTCTATGAGTTTGTGTAAGTGCATGTGTTGGTTACTTTTCCCTTGTTGCTGAGACAAAATACCCAACACTAAAAATGAAGGAAGGAAAGGCTTATTTAGTTCATTGTTTGTGCAGGTTTTGGACCATAATCAACTGGCTTCAAGGCAGAGTGGTACATGGCAGAGGGCAGCAGTTCATGGAGGCAGAAAACAGCAAAAGCAAGAGCAAAAAGGGAGGAACAGCAGGGAGCAAGCCTCTTTCCCTGCTTTATATCGTATGTAAGAATAGGGGTAGCACTCACACCCATAATCCCAGCATTGGACCATGAATCAATCACAAACTAGAAGCCCACCCCATGACAGCATGAGGCTTTAGGTGGGCATCTAGACACAAACCATAGCAGTGCAGTAGAAGTTCTGTGCCCCCCAGCACTGCCCCTGAGAGCAAGGACTGGCCCCTCCAGAGTCTGAGCAAATGAACAGACGTTTAGTTTCAAATCTATAATCCCAGTTTAGCACTGCATATGACTTTGCTCAGACAATTACTTAATTCATTTTATCATCACTGAGTCCATATGGGGTCAACTATTAGTAAATACTTGTGGGATGACAGGCTGGGGATGTAGCTCAGTAGCACAGCACCTGCCTGGCAAGTGTGAGCTCATGAGTTCAAGTCGTGGTACCAAAAACAGAACAACAACAACAACAAAATACTTGTGGGCAACAACAGTCAAATTCATGGTGTATGCCTGTAATCCCAGCACATGGGAGACTGGGGCAGGAGGAGAGCCATGAGTTTAAGACCAGCCTGAGTGACACAGTGAGACCCTGTCTCAAAACAATAAAAACAAAGTCAAAGCCATCAGGAGCAACAAACTCGAGCTCATTCTAGAAGATGCCTACAGTCATCAGTGAGGCAGGTCAACATTTACACCAGTGATTCTCAGTGCAAGCTGACTGTAATAGACAATGAAAAACAAAAGAAGTGGAAATGAATATCTGGCTATATGGACTCCTGTCCTCCCATTATTTTGTTATTGGCCAACAGATGCTGCTGTGTTCCCCACCAAAACTCATACGGAAATTTCATCTCCAATGTGAGGTACTAAAAGTGAGACCGGCAGGAAACTTTAAGAAGCAGCTGGAGCCAAGTATGTTGGTGCAAACCTGTAATCCCAGTACTCAGGAAGCTGAGGCAGGAGGATTGTGGCAAGTTCGAGACAACCCTGGGCTACAAAGTGAGCTCAAGGCCAGCCTGAACTGCAGAGCCAGAACCTGTCTCAAAGAAGGAAAAGGAGAAGAAGAGGAAGCGGAAGAAGGAGAAGGAAAAGGAGGAGGAGGAAGGGGAGAACGAGGAGGAGGAGAAGAAAAAGGAGAAGGAGGAGAAAAGGAGAAGGAGGAGAAGAAGAAGGAGGAAGAGGAGGGTAAGGACACCTAGGCCTCATGGTTCAACTTTATAATACTTGCCAGTCTGTGGATTGATTTAGCAAAATACTTTATGGCTAGGGGTGTAACTAAGTGGTAGAGTACTTGCCCACCATGCATGAGGCCTCCAGGCTGATTCCTAGCAATGCATTCCAAAAAATCAATAAATAAATGAAAATTGATTTCATATCAATTCACATGAAAACTCCTGCAACTGAAAATGCTATACAAAACTTCCTTGAAGCTTGAACTTTGTCCTAGTGAGACTGAGAGTGAGTCATTTGAGATGGATGATTTACCCAGGAGTCTTCTTTCAAACATCATCATTTGTATGATTACTCTACAAGTCTATATTAAAATGAAGCAAGACTATGTCTCAAAATAGGGGCTGGGGATATAAGGCAATTTGAAGGTCCTGGTTTCAATCTCAAAGGAATAAATAAATAAATAAATAAATAAATAAATAAATAAATAAATAAAAAATCTAGGCTGGAGAATTAAGCCCAATCCATCTTAACTCTTCATTTTACAACAAAGCAATAACAAACTCAATTTATCCTTACTCCGAATATTTAATGACACCATGAGTATTCTCATTGGATAAATGGCCAAACATACCCTCCATCATCTGATTTATCACAGTCCTTGCCTTTGGAAAATAAATATATAGGGCTATGGTCACCCTTCTGGCAACTTCAGCCCTTGGAACCAGACCTCAGAACTCAGAAGGTAAGAAGACAAGGGTCTTTTGAGCAGCTCGCCAATGTGCTTATTGATTCTTATCGAATATCAAATGTCAAAAGGCTCCATTATATAGTTTCCCAGCCCTCAGCAGATTAGAAATAGCAAGAGAATGGACCCGGCACTGAGCTGGGTGGGGGCAGGGAAAGCAAGTGACTTTGCCCACTTCATTGTAGGTCCCCACATGGAACTGCTGACCGCAGCAAGGAAGTTAGCCAGTGTTCCCAGAAGTGACATGTGCTTGAGACAAACCTTCACCGCTCCTGGTCACGACCTTGGAGTAGGAAGAAGTGGCTGGACTGAGATCAGAGCCTTTATTTTTGGTGGAAAGTTTCCTATGGTTCTGCCGGTGCAGCGGTAGCCTCTGGGGAGGAGGTCACCCAGGCTGCAACAAGAGCAGAATTCATGATTGATTCACATGCTTTTATATTTTTAAAGTGGTATACCATGTGCATTGTGTTCTTTTTCATAATAAAATGTTTTAATCAATGTTCCTATAAAAGATATTATAGGTAAAAAGCCTATGAAAAAGAAATTTATATAAGTCAAAAATATTGTAGCACAGTGAGATATCATTCTGATCAGAAAAGCTAAAATGAAAAAACTGACAATACCGTATGCTAGGTACCATATGCTAGACAGTAGTGACAATACCATATGCTAGACAGGATGCAGCGATCGTGCTACACTGCCAGTAAGAATATACAATGGCACAGCCTCTCTGAAACATTGGAAGTCTGATAAAATTTAAACATGCAAAAAAGGACTAAGATGCAATATGCACATGTACCAACTTCCTACAATGAATTTATTCATTATGTATCAAAAACATACTAATAAAAGTAAAACAAAATATCCTGAGTCAGGATAGAAAAGATAAGATAGATAGAAAAAAAAAACAAGAAAAATCAGCATTTTAGGGGCTGGGGAGATGGCTCAGTAGAATAAGCACTTCCCTGGCAAGAGCAAGGGCCTGAGTTCAATCCTTGGTTCCACCAAAAAAAAAAAAAGAAAGAAAGAAAGAAAGAAAGAAAGAAAGAAAGAAAGAAAGAAAAATCAGAATTTTAAATTTGTGCTTTTATTAAAACTGCAGATTTAAGACACAAAAATTTCTAAGGTGTGTAAAGCAACAATAAACCCGGGCCATTCCTTCTGCCTGCCAGCAAGCCTTTCTCACCTGTGAATAGATTATATCTTTTCATCTATAAAATGGGCCTGCACTTTATGTCACTGAGTGTGTGACTTTGGAATTGTGCCTAATCTCTATTTCTCTAAAAATAATTAAATATACAATGATTATAGGACCCAGCAGTTGTACTCTTGGCCCTTATCCCAAAGAAATGAAGAGTACAGTCAGTCATACAAAAACCTGTGTGTGATTGTTAGAGCAGTTTTATTAACAATAGTCCCAAACTAGAAGTCGTAACCTTCAACTACAGGATGGTTAGGCAAAGATGGTACAGCTGCATGACGGAGTACCGCACAGCAGTAGAGGGAGCAGACTACTGGTATACCCATGAACCAGGATGATCAGCAGAGTTATGCTGAGTGGAAAAGAACAGAAGGGTCACATACTGCCTGGTTCCATATCTGTAGCATTTGAAATGATAAAACATGGCAATGGAGGAGAGCAGTTACCAAGGAAGGATCAGGTGTAAGGAGAGGGCAGTGGCTGTGGTGTGGAGGTGCGTGGTGTCTAACTTATAGAAACACTCTGAGTCTTGGCTGAAGGCTATTCTGATGCTGTACTGTCACAAGGTGATGGGCACCATTCTGGGAAACTTAGTAAAGGGTATACAGGATTTTAACATTGTTTTTCAGTGCTAGGGACCAAACCTAGGGCTCTACATACTGTAGGCAAGAATTCTACCACTGAGCTGTCCCCCAGCTCTGAAATTACTCTTAAAATTGCTTGGGAAGCTACAGTTATCTTCAAGTAAGGCATTAAACCAAAGACAGATTTTTTTTTTTTTTTGTCTTTTTGAAACAGGGTCTCACTATACAGTTTAAACTGATCTTGAACTCATGTTGTAGTCCAGGTTGGCCTCAAATTTGAGTAATCTTCCTGCCTCAGCCTGCTGAATGCTGGGATTACAGACGTGAGCCCCCACAATACCCAGCAAGAAAGAATTTTAAAGTTAAAAAAAATACCCTGAGAGGTCTGTAAAGATGCTACAGGGCTGGGGAGATAACTCAGCAGCATAAGTGCCTGCCTAAGAAGCATAAGGTCCTGAGTTTGATCCCTGGTACCAGAAAAAAAAAAAAAAAAGCTACATATTTTTAAATCTCACAGTGAAACATACCCTTCTTGACCTTAATTAACTGAGGCATTGCCACTTACAAACCTCCCAGACTGAGCAAGAATAATTTCATACACTGTGGCTGGGAGCAGTTGGTCCTCTGTATGCATGGCATATGTGTCCATGGACTCAATGAAATGTACTGAAAATACTTTTTAAAAAAATTGTAGCCAGGCATGGCAGCACACACCTGTAATCCCAGCACTTTGAGAGGCTGAGGCAGGAGGATCACAAGTTTAAGCCCAGACTGAGCAATTAAGCAAATTAGAAATTTCCTGTCTCAAAACATACAAAGAGGATGGGGATGTAGCTCAGCACAAGGGCCCTGGGTTCAATTCCTAGTAGCACACACACACACACACACATGCGCGCACACGCGCGCGCACAGGCACACACACAGTGTACTGAACACATATGGACTTTTTATTGTTATTATTCCCTAACACATATAGCATAACAACTCTTTTGCATTGTACAGCATTATATATTATAAGTAGTCTAGAGATGATTTGAAATATACAGGAAGCTGTGCACTGGTTTTATACAAATACTACCTTATTTTATTTAAGAGACTTGATCATCCATGAATTTTTATGTCCAGGAGGAGACCTAGAACTAGTTCCCAAAGAATCCTAAGGAACAACTTGCAGTACTTACCCGAGGTGAGCTAGAATTGTTTTCTGGTGGACTGACATGAAAGCAGTGCTTCTTACCCCAGTGGGCAGGTGGTTCTTTCTAGCCATTTTCCTACCTTTCTTAGAGAGAAAGTCCTAGAACTTGGGGAAAGTTCACCAGACCCTCAAGCAGCATACAGCCACTCTGCTGACCAGATGCGCTCCAGGTTGGTTAGATCAGCTCTGGCCAGATTGAGAAGGCAGCAAGAGGAAACCCGTTAGAAGAGAGCTTGCGATGTTTCTCAGTGCTCAACTGGTCGAGCCATGGCCACCGAAATGGAACTACATATTCATGAAATAGTTCAGCTGTGAGATCTGGGAACTGATTTATTTTTGGTTTCTCCAATTTAAGCCACTGAGCTGTGATCCTGTCAGGACCACCCAGCTCTGTGCTGAGTAGCTAGCTAGTCAGGCTTGGGGTTCAGGAAACTTCGGACTAGGAATCCCCTGGGATTGTAAGCACTGTGCGGTCTCATTTCTGTCATTCAAGATTGTGAAGGCCCTGCGGATAGGAAAACTGTTGAGTTGGTGCATCAGTGAAAGAATGGTGTAAACCAGCGGTCCTCAAACTTTTCCTTACCTACCCCCGAAATAGTGCTGAAGCATGTGTATCCCTTTGGACATTCTGAAATGGACAGCCACACCTTTTTGTGGTAGCACTGAGCCTGTATCTGAAGGTGGTTACCATAGAATGTTCTAAAATAAAACTGTTGTATCACTTACTCTGTATCCATTAGTATCTAAGCACCATAGTAATTTGACACCATCATTCTTTTTTTTTTTTTTACCATCATTCATTTTTAAAAGCAAAAATACAGTTCTCTGACAGAAATGTTAAATCATTTCCTTTACTATCTCCCACTATGCTTTCATGTCACTCCCAGTACAGAATCGTATTCATCTCAGCCAGGACTCTGGAAAACTGAGGCAGGAGTATCAGAGGTTCAAGCCCAGCCTAGGAAATTCAGAAATTTAGTGAGACCCTGTCTCAAAATTAAAAATAAAAATAAAAAAGACTAAGGATGCTGAATGGGGTGGCACATGCCTGTAATCTCAGTGCATGGGAGGCTGAGGCAAAAGG